TAAGTAATGAGGTACAATTACTGAAGTTCTTTACACCCCTGAATCTTTAATTTATCATGCAGAATCACATCAGATCTTACCTCCGACCTCTGCAAGAGAAAGATATTTGTTCCCTTTGTCTTCTGTCTTGAGGATCAGTGTGATCACCTTTTGGATTACTGTTACAGAATAAAAAGGACCCGTGGTAAATGATAAAACATCCTAAAAATGAATCCTAAATATTGCTCAGTGTACTGTATGTTTGCAAAATGTTTTACACTCAGTTACACTCAAAGTTAGTGTTCAATTGTTTGTTACTTCAGTGATTTAGAAGAGTTTAGAAGATTTATGTTTTTGAGTTTTTGTCGTTACCATTGTGCTCAATAGTGGCATTTGTGCATGCAGATTTATGGTGAACAGTATCTGCTACTACTACTAAATAAGCAGTAACTGTACTGAGATCAGTTTCTTTTACTTGCTTATCCTTTATGTTACACGTTGTCAAAAGTAAACCATACTATCGCCCAGCTCTAAACCGCTAAATAAATGGACTTGTCTTTATCATGTTAACCTGTGCTACTGCTAGTTAGTGACAAAGTAACAAAGTTATGTTGTTTCAACAAAGTTCATATGAACTTGTTTTAGTCTTGATATCTGATCTAAACTAGTTGCATGGAAAAGTTTTTCTTGATGTAATGAAGTTGATTGAACAAACTTCTTTTGTAGAGTTATTAAGTAGTAACCGAGATGCTGAACTATCTGGAAAGCTGCATAACAGAATCTGATCACTAGGGTTTTGCATAGCTTAAAAACAAAGTAATAGAGATTTTATTCTTGCCTTTATATAGCAGTGAGGACAAATGTAGTCAGTTATGTTGGAAAATACAGCAGGATAACTTTATGATGTAAAGTCTGCTGTCACCAAATACTTGGACAGTTTTTGCATGTAACAATGTTATTTCTATTTGATTATTTAATTGGCTGCTGGCATAAGCAATGATTGATGGCAATGAAAAAGGTTAACATTTATATTTGTTTGTTACTGTAACTAATTCTCACTTGTTTGTTTCTCACTTTCCGCAGCTTGGGCCCCATGCAACCATGGACATATTTCACAAGAAGCAAACTGTAAACACGTAAAACATTTAACACACACACACACACACACACACACCACAGACTTGTATATGCGGGCTACGGGGACTCTCCATAGGCACATTGGTTTTTATACTGTATAAACTGTGTTTCTAACCCCTTGCCATAACCCTAAACCTACCCCTCACAGAAAACCACTAGCAATTTTTGAATTTCAAAAAACACAGTCACGCTGGTTTTGTTTCTTGTTTAGGTTTCTTGTCTTTTATTTTGTATTCTCTTGTCATTGTCATGTGATCCTGCCATGTGGTCCTTTTGTTCATGTGTCTTGTTCTCATTGGTTCCTTTGTTGTATGTCATGTTCTCATTGGTTGGATTATATCATGTGACCCCTTTGTTCGATATATATAACCCCCATGATTCATTGTCCATTTGTCTAGCTTTGTTCATGTTACCACTGTTGGTGATGTCCATGCTTAAGTTCATGTTTGTTCATGTCAAGTCTATTCTCTGTTTATCTTGCATTTGTTTATGTTTTGGACTTCATTAAAACTGCACATGGGTTCAACTCAACTTGCCTCAGTGAATTCATTACAGAAAGCTAGACCCGTTACAATGAACACAGTAGTTTCCTTGCTTTGCCTCTGTCAAGGGGATTGATGCATAGAGAACTACATGAAGGAATTCTGTGGACTCTGTCACCTAGTTAATTTCAATGATGTGGCATTAAAAGACATTTTTCGTAAAATTAACCCATTTGTTCACGGCTTCCAGAGGGAAAGATACACTAGTCCCTGGCGAAATACATAGACCATGTCCTTCTGCTGAGTGGTTCCTCATTTACTGTGGGGACTATGGATGAGGAACTCCACAATTCTCCATTACCTACCATGCCAGAGCCCTCAGCCATGATAGCTGCATCCCAATTCATGCAATAGGGTGTACATCCTTTAAAGGACCCATTTGAAGGCCGATTGCATCACGGCAGCATGACGAAGGATGTCCCAATTCAAAGACCGCGTCCTATGAAGGCTGCATTTGAAAGCCGATTGTGACACGGCGGCGCGGCGAAGACCATCCCAATTCACGATGCATCCTCTGAAGGCTGCATTTGAAGGCCGATTGCGTCACCGCGGCGCGGCAAAGGCTGCCGCAATTCGAACGCGACTTCAAATGCGCCCTTCGTTTCCCAGGAAAATGAAGGATACAACAGATGGATCCTTCGCAGCCTACCCTATCCCAGAATTCATAGCGCGCCAGTGACGATGGGACTTTTATTCAAACAAAATAGCGGGTGATGGTTCTGTGGCGGCCGAGGAATACACTTATAAATGTAAGTATTGTGTTTTAATTTACTCAAATAGCTAGTGAAACAAATGTTAAAAGTCAGGGGTCTTAAAAAAATGTGAACTTAAACTAACAATACCACTGCACAGATTCATTTGTTAGGTCGTCTGAGGCAAAAGTTCTTGTATTTATTAAACTGAGGGCTGAATTTGATAATTCCTTTACTTGGGACAAAAACTCTGCCATTGTCTGAGGTAAGGCATTACCCATCTGTAATATTTCTACTAGGACCTCTTGTGTTCGCAACAATTAACCCTCACCCATATATAAAGCCTACAACAATAAGACAAGTAGGCCTATAAGGCTACTTAATAAGTAGACAAGTCTTTCACTTGTATTTTTATTTTATTTCATTTTTTATTTTTATTTATTTATTTTTGTAGTGTTGTCCTGCAAGATATGTCCACAAATGTTTTAGGCAAACTTGATGATCTAGAAATAGGATTTCTGAAGTATTTTGTATGCACGTCCTGCTGTCATATTTTCTAACTTTAAGATTGCAGCCCTGTCTTAATAATTTTCTTTCCTTTTTCTCTTCTTTTAGGACAGTTCTGGAGAAAATGGTGCTGCTGGGAAACTTAAAAATGAAAAGTTGTTTAGTTATTTGTAAATGAAGCAAAGTCATTTCTGTGCATTGTTTTAGTTGACACTTGTAAATAAAAGACAAGTAGTAGTTCTGGAAATTGTTAATTTTTGCAAAGCAAAATTTGTAAATGACTAATTTTTTTTTGCCTCTGAATAACATTTGCAAATGAAAATAAATTGTTCTATACTAAAAGTACTTTTTACAACTAATTACAAAATAACTTCAATTCAACATCAGAAAAACAACATCAAAATTTAATTAACAATACATAAAACAGATTGGAAAAATAAACATTTTTATGTACGCTTTCATTCAGCTGAGCAGTGAGACCTTGGTGGAGCTGCTGGACCTGGACAGGCTGCTATAGAGAGCCTGGTACGGCCTCTGCCAGTGGGACATAATCTGGGATAGTCTTGTTTGAGTGCATATTTCCACTGTCAAGCACTGGGACGTTCAGGTTTATCCTGCAGTACAGGGGTCTGGTCTGATTTAAGGAAATGAGGAAAGGACTAATTGTGTAGAGCTATGACAAAGTAATTGGTGGAAGAAATATGAGTTACTTTAGTAAAGTACTTTCAGTAACTACTATTAGCGCATTGAGGAAAAAATGCATGCATTTAAAACCTGTCATGGCCAGGGAGGCCATCTCTGAACTCACAGTCAGTCCTGTCACAGTCAAGGAGGCCATCCCTGAACTCTCTGCCTGCCCTGTCACGGCCAAAAAGGCCATCCCTGAACTCTCTGCCTGTCCTGCCATATCCAAGGAGGCCGTCCTTGAACTCTCTGCCTGTCCTGCCATGGCCAAGGAGGTCGTCCCTAAAAACTCTGCCTGTCATGTCATGGCCATGAAGCCCGCTCACACACTCTCTGTCTGTCATGCTACGGTCACTGAGGCTGTTCAAGGATATTCTGCCTGTCATGTCACGGCCACAAAAGCCGTTCAAGGTTACTCTGTCTGTTCTGTCATGGCCAGGTGGTCTGTCCATGTCTCTGCTCCACCATGGCCTCCTGACCTGTGGTGGTCTTCTGCTCCGCAGGCTTCACCTTGGTCACCTGCTCTGCTCTGGTTGCCTGCTCCACCCTGGTGGTCATCTGCTCCACCATGGGGATCGTCGGTCCCGCCTGCTCTGCCGGCTCCACCATGGTTTCCACCACTGCACCACGGACCAGGTTCAGGCCCACCTCTGCACCACAGTCCATGGTTTCCGTCATTGCTCCACGATCCAGGCCCATCTCTGCTCCATGGTCCAGACTTGCCATTGTTCCACGGTCCAGGTTCACCACTGCTCCACGGTCCAGGCCCTTCATGGCCTGGCCCTCTATCCCTCCTCCTGTTATGCCTCCACTTCACCACCCTCCTGGACTTTTTGAGTTTAGTTTGGGTTGGGGTGGGTGTTATGTTAGGGCATTTGGAGCCGCCCTTAGAGGGGAGCTATGTCATGCTGGTTTTTGGGTTTTGTTTCTTGTTTAAGTTTTCTTGTGTTTTATTTTGTATTCTCTTGTCATTGTCATGTGTTTCCCTGACCCTGCCATGTGTTCCTTTTGTTCATGTATCTTGTTCTCATTGGTTCCTCTATTGTATGTGTTATGTTCTCATTGGTTAGATTGTGTCATGTGACCCCTTTGTTTGATATATATAGCCCTCATGTTTCATTGTCCATTTGTCTAGCTTTGTTCTTGTTACCACTGCTGGTGAGTTTCTATCCATGCGTAAGTTCATGTTTCTTCATGCCAAGTCTAGTCTCTGTTCATCTTGCATTTGTTTATGTTTTGGACTTCATTAAAACTGCACATGGGTTCTACTTCGACTTGCCTCAGTGGATTCATTACAAGTATGTTTATTTAAGCCACAGGAAGTGTCCTCATAAACCATGTTTGCGTTTTATTACCCTTGTATTGCAACGCAAACACAAATACACATTTGTGTCCTCATAAACCATATATTCAAGAACACACACACACACACACACATATAAACATATAACATTGTCACCTGGTTAACATGCAGCTGAGAGGGCTGACATGACTTTGACTGCTTCCTGTGTTCTCTGCACTGTGACCCTGATGAAGAATGTTACAATAATTTGAATCATATCATACAATGAAGAATGATATACTTTATGCCAATATAACAATTCTAGCTTATCATAAGATTTAATTAATTAATTAAAAGAAAATCAATATATGGAACAAAACAATGCATACAATTTTTAGTTTTGAATTTTATAGCACCACCTAGTTGCAGCTAGTGTTTGGCAGACAAATAAGTCTTGATTGTTTATATTGTTTTCACAACTAAAGCATAATAACGCCCAGCTCTAAACTGCCAAATATGGACTACTGGGCATTAACATCATGAAAATCTGTGAAGCTGCTTTGAAACAATGTTTTAGAGCAGAAAAATAAGAAGGGAAAACCATTATTACAAGCAGCAGTTGTGGGGCCAAGCACAAATGGCTGGCCTGTTGTTAAGCTGAGCAGATTTGCTTGGTCATAGCATCCAGCAGAGTGGTCAGTTAAGAAAGTACTTAAAAGTCTATGAGAAGATTTACTAATATTTATAAATCTGCAACAAAATTACCATGATGGTATCAGCTTGATGTGGCAGTGATACAAAGTATTTTGTGTAATTAAAGCTTCTCCAAAATAAAGACAGACTTCCTGTTTTGCTTCTTCACAATCAAATTGGTTTATCTCACAACAAAAATCCAATGAGGGTCTTTAATGAAATTTTTTTTCTTCTGAAAATTGTCTAAGGAGCTAATTTTGGACACACTGTGAAGGAGGAGTAAAAAAAAAAGTTCTGTTCATATGAGAATCAAAATACTACAAGCTTTCTGGATATCTAGAGACTTGATTTTATAATTTTTTATTTATTTTATTAAATAATAATAATAATAATAAATTAATAAATAAAAATAATAAAAAAATATTAATTTATTTTATTATTATTATATATTTTTTTACAACCACTAAGACCCATTTCTCAAAACTTGTTAGTTTAAATGCAATTTTAATGTGAAATTAACTGCTGTGACAAGCTGAACGTTGATTTAGGAGAACTGGGTGAAGAGCTTTGAAAAACTGACTTAACTAAATGTGTCCTAGTGGTTTTTAAAAAAACTAACACGTAACTAACACTTATATAGGTGTTCAACTAATCTAATTGTTTTCATAGAATTTATTTTATTTTTATTATTATTTTTTTTGAATTAGAATATATTTCAATATGAAGTAAAGTGACGTGTGGCCAAGTATGGTGACCCATACTTGGAATTTGTGTTCTGTATTATGTTAGGATTTGAACTTAAGTTTAGCAGTTTTGAAAATAATATGTAAATGTGCAACTTGGTGGTGGCTGTGTTCAAAGAAACTGTAAACCAAAAAAACTGCAAAAGTATAAAAAATGTCCATTTGTAGCCCCCTTTAACTGTCACCCCTCATTTTTTAATATAGGCATGAAAGTGCACTATTCAAACTTAAATTGTTGTCATTTATGAACACTTTGGAATACAGACCTACGGTTGGTCTCTTTTTAAAGAAGAAAATCAGCAGATTATTGCAAAAGAAATTTTGCAAAAAAAAAAAAAAGAATCAAAAATTAAAGCATCAAAAAGT